GAAAGGTAGTGATGGTAAAAATCTTGTTTTCTTAAAAGACAGAACCAGAATTCTTCTGGAGTGCAAGTATCTATTCGAGAAAAGCACCATGGTTGATACATTTGGAAGGAAAATGAGACCCCAAAACCAGATACAGCTAGAACCAGGCCAATCAACGGGAAACGAATTTCCTTGTTTTAGAAAAAATGAATAAGATCACTCATGAAGAAATGCAAAAATTCTAAATTAACTATTGCCAAATAGAAGCCAGCAATAACTTAGATGAGAAAGATTAGTCCCAAATATGCAAAGAAGGTTCAATATCGGGAAATATTTTCATATAATTTAATGTATTATAAAGCTATGGAGCAACATAATCCAGTTATCACCTTAGTGTTGAAGGTAATTTGGTAAAATTCAGTATCTAATACCTGGTTACTGTTTTAATTTCCTTCTCAACCTCAAAGCCCACACCTTATTTAACTGGAAGCATTGAGGTATTGCCACAAAAGTTAGAAACAAGTTAAGGAGGCCTACTATATTGGGATTATTGAACGTTCTTCTGGATACTAGCCACAATAAACAAACAGTGGACAAAATTGGATGGTTTTTTTCAAAACTCCAAGAGGAAGAGGTAAAACGATCACTTTCGGCCACATAAAGAATTTCTACAAATCAACGTCAGAACAATTAACAACAGAATTTAAACATGAGTAACAAACATATGAGAAGATAATAAAAAAAAAAGACATAGTTCTTTAACATACGAAAAATAACTTGACCACATTCATGTTGAGTAATGCATATAAAAATCCCATGAATACAAGTTTTCATTGATCAGATTGGCAGATAAAATCATGAACAAGGATATGGGGGAATTAACAAAATGCTGGTGTAACTAGTTTGGTTAAAATTTTTATTGTGGACAATCCAGTAATATCTATCAAAATTACAAATGCATCTACCAATTGTCTAGCAATTCCATTTCTAGGAATCTATTCAGGTGATCCAATCATCTATTGCTATATAACAAATCACTCCAGAACTCAGTGGCAAAAAACAGTTTTATTATGCTCGTGATTTTGTGCTTCAGGAAGTCAGGCAGAGCGCGGTTTTCCCCTGCCTCTTCTCCACGCAGACTGGGGCTTCAGTTGGTGGGGCACTGGCCTAGCTCCACACCTCTGTGCCTCCCTGTTGGTCAACTGTGTTCCTCGATTCCTCCCTGTTGCATCTTTTGGGGCTGGAATGTTCCAGATGGCTTCTTCACGCCTTCACCAAGGTGACAGTGCTTTACTCCTGGTGGTTTTGATTCCCGAGTTCACCATAGTAATGTAAAGTCAGAGGAATTTAAAGGGATTATTGTCAGCTTTGTCCACTGAGAGAGGAAGCAGATAAAAGAGCGGTCACCGTGGCTACTGAGTGGGGGGTGACTGTGTGGGAATGAACTGGTGAAGGAGTGGGTAGGACGGTCCACACTTAAGGTATGTCCATGTCCAATTCCAAGGAGCTGACAACTATCTTTACCTCATGGTACGAGATGTTCCACAAGGAGACGATTGTGAGCCATCATTTGAAACCATAGACAAAGCAATGTGATGCAAGAAAACTCGAAATAGACATCTCTTTGGGTTCCCTTGCTTGCAAATATACCTTTTTGTAATGTAATACTGCTGGTAATTGCATCTTGTAGTGGAATGCTTCTGTTGATGTCTTGTTTGATGTAAAATGTCTTTAAAACTTTTTTAATTAAAATTTTAGCCATGAGGAATTTCCCTGGTGGTCCAGTGGGTAGGACTCTGCAGTCTCAATACAGGGGGCCTGGCTTCAATCCCTGGTTGGGGAACTAGATCCCGCATGCACGCTGCCACTAAGAGTTCGCATGCCGCGGCTAAAAAGCCCGCATGCCACAACTGAGACCCAGCACAGCCTAAATAAATATTAAAAAAAAATTTTAGCCGTTAATCTTTACAGTTATTCCATGAGATGACCCTTCTTACAACTCTGAGAATCCTTTGGAACTAGGTCTTCGGCAGCTATTTCTTTGCAATGTAAAGCTAACAGTTCCTCACACTTTTCAGTAGACAAGTCGCTCAGTCCAGCCTCTTTGAAAAGCTCTGGGTTGGGTCTTTTGTTGTTTGTTTGTTTGTTGGGGTTTGTTTGTTTGTTCACTGAGTTTTTGTTTTGCACCCATCACTTCGGTGAAACTTTGAAAGTCAGGCGTCCGTCGTTCCTCCCCTGCTTCACCAGTTCACCCCACACACTTTCACCTGCACTGAACAGCCATTGTGACGGGTTCTTGATTTCCCTCCACCCTCCACAAATACCTCTTTTCTTTTTCTCTTCTTCTTTTTGCGGTACGCGGGCCTCTCACTGCTGTGGCCTCTCCCGTTGCAGAGCACAGGCTCCGGACGCGCAGGCTCAGCGGCCATGGCTCACGGGCCCAGCCGCTCCGCGGCACGGGGGATCTTCCCGGACCGGGGCACGAACCCGTGTCCCCTGCATCGGCAGGCGGACTCTCAACCACTGAGCCACCAGGGAAGCCCTATTTTTAATTTTTTTAGGAACCTCCATACTGTTCTCCGTAGTAGCTACACCGATTTACACTCCTACCACCGCGTGAATTCTCCACATCCTCACAAACACTTCTCTCCTGTCTTTGTGATGATAGCATCCTAACAGGTGTGAGGTGATACCTCATCGTGGTTTTGATCTGCATTCCCCTGATAATTAGTGGTGTTGAGCACCTTTTCAGGTACCTGTTGGCTATTTGTATGTCTTCTCAGAAACAATATCTATTCAGGTCCTTTGCCCATTTTTTAATTGAGTTATTTGTCAGGATACTTATCCAATCACTTTCTTTTATAAACCAAAAATATTTTGGGTATTCAAAAGAGCAATATTTTAAGCTTTTGTTCTGAAAAAATGTTTTTATATAGGTACTTTAATGAATTTTACATGTGATTTAGAAAATTGATGGGCTTTGAATTTGATATTGCATTATATGTGTTTTCATGAAAAACAATAAGAACTAGGTCCCTGTTAGTATTTTGACACAGAATGGTTTGTTTTTAGGAAGAGATTACTGATATTAAGTAGAAGACTGCATAGTAAAGGATGTGAAAGAATGCAAGACAGTGATAATAGTCAGGGTGTGACAAAGCAGTGGTGTCCACCCATGTCCCGGGACTCCACTGCGTTTCCAAACCTCTCTTATAATGAGGTCGGGGCCTGTGATTGTTTCTCATCAGTGGTTGGGAGAGAAAGCAAAGTGCATCACTACTAACCTGGGATATTTAAAGGCTATCTTAAGTCCCACATTTTCTCTGCCCCTGCTGTGGTGAACGCCATATAAATAAGGGAAAAAAGCATTTGAGTGATTTCAGCTTTAACCCCTTGGGTCATTCTTCCTGAATGTAGAGACTCAGATTATTATTGTAGACACTGCCTAGACCATTGCTTCCCAGGGGTGCCTCCCTGACATTGCAGAGCTGGACAGGAAGGAAAAGCAGGGAAACCATGAGTGAGTTATTTCCAAATGCGCTGATGGACGTGACTGTTACAGTCAGACAGACATGGACTTCTCCCGGGTTCCCCCTTCTGTACCCTCCCCGCTCTGCACAGTGCCCTGTCCTGTGCCCCTCACACCCACGCTCTTTCTGCCCCCAAGCCCAGCGGCACTTGCCTTTAGGACAGTCACTGCTACGGTGTGGATGAGGTGTCATTCCTCCTGGGAGGAGTTGAGGCGTGTTCATTCAGGCAAACCTGTAACTGCGGGGACACAGCCCGGGTGGGAAGGAAACAAATCTACCAGCATCCCTGGTGCCCCTTTTTTTCCTGTCCAGTTTAAATGATTCAAACATTGGGTTTTTTCACTATTGAGAAAAGACAGTCCATGTGACAACAAATTATTCATTAAATTTTGCCATTTTAACTATTTTAAAAAAGAGAATCAGACACAGGCATGTGCCGGGGCTCACTTGCAGTGAGGAAACTCAGTGGAGATTCAAGAGAGGAAGAAGCAGACTAGGTTTCTTGTTTTCTGTTTTTTTTGTTTTGTTTTTTTCTCTTCAAGCTGAACGGGCAAGTCACAGATTTCACTGGGGAGGCTTCTGCTTCTTTCAACAACTCAGGTAAGCCCACACTCAAGAAAGTTCTGCAGTGTTGATTTCTAGTTCCCAGGCTAAAGAAAACATTTTTAAACAAATTTGCCCTATTTTCAGGGAAACAATTTAGAGTGATGGCATTTGGCTTAAGTGAAGCCAGTTTCCAGGACCTGTAAACTTCATGGAATTTAGGCTTTACCCATTACTGGCAAAGAGAACTTCGTTTGCATAGAGCCAATAAAAAGTGCTAACCGGGAAGAATTTGGTCATTAACTCATGCATTTTCTCTGCCTTGTCACTTGGTACAGGCTGCCAGTTTTAAGATACTTTGCTCTGCGTAGGAAAAGGAACTAAATGGCAAGGCTTCTACGTGGAAAGAGGAAAATTCAAGTAATTAACGGATCAAATGAAGTGTATTTCTGGTTTAAAGGACAGCGTACTTTTCTGGAGTCGTGTTCTTAATTCATTGAGCCTCTCAGCAAGGACGCAGCGTGGAGGGAGGGGTTGGGCGAGCTGGGGAAGGATCAAAGGAAACAGCAGTCTGAACCTGGGACCCAAGGCAGACCTAGAAAGGACGCAGAGGGAAAGGAAGGTGTGTGGCCACGGAAAGCAAGAGTGGGCAGGGAGGTCCTGCAGGGAGGAGGGAAAGTGGGGGAGAGGTGCGCATGGAGATGAGAAGTAGGTGGGGCGACAAGCCAAACCCATTTTCTGACTCACTGGGTTGACTCTGAGCAAGTGACTAAACTTCTCTGTAAAATAGAGATAGCACTTCTTTCCACCCACCTCCTCAGCTTTGTGTAGACAAGTGAGGCATGGTTGTGAACGTGCTCTAGAAATATAAGGTTCTCTCATGAGCCGTAACTCAAAAATGATAGTTTTTTAATTGGTCTCTGGTCTCTCTGTCCCTCAGGAGCTGCCATGGGCCAAAAGGAATGCAGTCACTCTGGTAAGAAAATGACTTCCTCTGTGTGCCTGTTTTACCCATTCTGTGCTTATTTTGTATAAAAATCATGCTATCCTCTTGAAACAAAGTGTAAGCGAGCAGCAGTTTATTCACTAGAGAGAATCATTTCACAATGCTCATTTCAGTATTTTCCTGGTCTAACCATTTCGCTGGTGGTCGGGACCACACCTCTGCCCAGCCACGGTCAGAGGAGCCGTCTCTGGTCCTGGGACAGTCAGGTTACTTTCCCCACCTGAAGACGGAACCCACTGTCTTGGCTACCCGTCTCTCATCTCCAGAAAATTTGCCTTTTACAGGGCCAGAACTGGATGATATAGGCAAATTTTGAATGACAAGGTATGTTTTTAATTCTAACTCATCCTCCAAATATGTTTTTCTAGAAGCCAACATGGCAATGCCCTGCAGACCTAGAGAAATCTAGAGTTTTAAAAGTCATTATTTTATTTGATAATAGAGTTAGCGTCTATTTCATAAACACCATACATTGTGAGAGTATCTTTTCCCAGACTTTTCCTTATCATTAAAAATATTCCATTGGCATGATCAGTGTGGTAATAACAAAGCAAGCCTATTCTTTTTTTTTTCACCTTTTTTTTTTAATTGAAATATAGTTGATTTACAGTGCTGTGTTACTTTCAGTTTTACAACAAAATGATTCAGTTATACACACACACACACACACACACACACACACACATACATATGAATAGATTTTTAGATTCTTTTCCATTGTAGGTTATTACAAGATATCGAGTATAGTTCCCTGTGCTATACAGTAGGTCCTTGTCGGTTATCTATTTTATATATAGTAGTGTGTATATTTTAATCCCAAACTCCTAATTTATCACTCCCCTGCCCGTTTCCCTTTTGGTAACTGTAAGTTTGTTTCTATATCTGTGATTAGCAGGACCATATACAAAGAGTCAACAAGCTCAACATGCCAGAGGATCAGAGCTGAGGGTCATTCTGGCGGGCAAAACAGGAACCGGCAAAAGTGCTACAGGGAACAGCATCCTCGGGAAGCAAGCATTTGAGTCCAGGCTGAGTGCCCAGTCCTTGACGAAGACTTGCAGTAAAAGTCGAGGAAGCTGGGGAGACAGAGAGACGGTTGTTATTGACACACCAGACATGTTTTCTGGGAAGGACCCCTCCGATTCCCTGTACAAAGAGGTACAGAGGTGCTACTTACTCTCTGCACCAGGACCCCACGTGCTGCTCCTGGTGACACAGCTGGGCCGATTCACCACTGAGGACCAGCAGGCTGTGCAGAAGGTGAAGGAGATCTTTGGAGAGGATGCCATGAGACACACAATTGTCCTCTTCACCCACAAGGAAGACCTCAATGGAGGCTCCTTGATGGATTACATCCATGGCTCAGATAACAAAGCCCTAAGTGAGCTGGTGGCTGCGTGTGGGGGGCGAGTGTGTGCCTTTAGTAACCGTGCTAAAGGGAGCAATCAGGATGACCAGGTGAAGGAGCTAATGGACTTGACTGAGAGCCTAGTGATGGCGAAAAGGGGTGGCCACTACAGCAATAGGCTGTACAGCCTAGTAACAGGGTCAGAATGTGCAACTGTGCAGTCAGAGGAAAGATTACAGGATTTCGAAGAGAACTTTGTAAAGTACATGGAAATTCAGAGACGTTCAACCATGGTCAAAGCCCTAATCCTAATAGCAATGTGTATTTTATCGTGTATTCAGGTGTTTGTCAGATTGCAAACTCTCTTATTTCGTGTATTGCGCGGAATGTGCAATTTCTTTTACCGCTTACTGTTTAGCATGTGCAATTTATTCTGTAGCTTACTGTTAATTATACCCCGAAAATTAATGGTAATTCTTAGAAAGACCATTAGACTGGAATGCAAGACTCCTATATTATAGTTACAATCAGTGGTTCTTTATCCACTGTCATTTAGTGGGTGAATCACACACTTTCTCCCCTGTAAAATACAGTGCCTGACAGCACTAAACGTTTGAGATTCTGTGAAGTGCTTAAATCGTAACATCATTCTATTTGTTAGTAAACCAAATGATTTTCAAAGTTACTGTTTGTTTTGAAATATATCTTTTGAAACTTGTAAGCATAAAATTCCTCTCGTTTGCAAATCTCTAAAGTCAGTTTTATGTTCCTGAAAACTCCTTTTCCTCTTTATACTATTTCTACTGAATATAACAAAAATAACAATAAAATTTCTACTGGGTACAGTAAAATAACAAGTAAGCTGTAAAATTCCTGAGATCACATGTCTTTAATTCTGTGCTATGGTTTTATCCTCAGAAGATGGTAAGTGAACACGTGGCTCATTTCTGTAACACAACCAATCCATGCTCAACAATCACATGCAGACACACTCACACATCAATAGTCTGTTTTATGTGCATCAAATTTGCTTAACATTGAAAGAAGCTCAGCCAGATTTTATCCCTGGTGCCCATTCCCGGTTAGCATTGAAACACACATAGAGGCTTACGCTTCAGACAAGATGGCGGACTGAATATTTTGGAGCATCACGCTGTTAAATGCAACTAGAATTTTTTAAAATAAACACAATCTTTATGACTGATGAACTCACTAGAAGATTAGGAAAACTCCAAGAAGGAAGCAGACAATACGCATAAAAAGGATGTGGAACTAAAAGGGGAGTTGAGAGCCGTGAGGACAGGCAAACCTAGAAGGCATGGTTGACCTACAGACAAACGCCTACATCAATCCCAAGATGAAGAAACTCATCCTTGGGTTGTGGGTAAAGTTAGAGAGCTGATTCTGAGGTCTCCGGTCCCCAGACCCAAACCTATATTAAACCTTTAAATCCTAATACTATAAATTAATATTTAAAGTATTTTTTAACCAAATGCAAAATATTCTGTTTTTTTATTTCTTCTTATGCTCATTTTTTTTTTTTTTTTTTTTTGCGGTACGCAGGCCTCTCACTGTTGTGGCTTCTCCCATTCCGGATGCGCACGCTCAGCGGCCATGGCTCACGGGCCCAGCCGCTCCGCGGCATGTGGGATCCTCCCGGACCGGGGCACGAACCCGTGTCCCCTGCATCGGCAGGTGGACTCTCAACCACTGCGCCACCAGGGAAGCCCCTCATGCTCATTTTTGTATGATGTGCTTTTCAAGGAATTTTTCCATTATACTTAAGTAGTTTAATTTATTTGCAGAAATATAAAATATTTTATCATCCCTTTAATATGTACAAGAACTAAATTATTGGGTTGGCCAAAAACTTTTTGGCCAACCCAATACTTGTTCCTCTTTGAATTCTGATATTGGCAATTTATGATTATTGCTTTTTGTTTGATCAGCCTGGCTAAAAGTTTAATTTTATAAGTTTTACAAAAATCTAACTTTGATTCTCTCCTTTATATTTTCTCTGTTCCATGCCATTGAGTGCTTTTTTTTTTTTTTGCAATACGCGGGCCTCTCACTGTCGTGGCCTCTCCCCTTGCCGGACGCGCAAGCTCAGCGGCCATGGCTCCGCGGCATGTGGGATCCTCCCGGACCGGGGCACGAACCCGTGTCCCCTGCATCGGCAGGTGGACTCCCAACCACCGAGCCACCAGGGAGGCCCCATTGAGTGCTTTTTAAAATGTCTTTTGCTCAGAAATTTTTAATTTCGAAGAAGTTCAACTCATCCATTTTTCTTTCATAAAATCATGCTTTTAGTGTTTTATCTAAAAAGTCATCACCAAACCCAAGATCTCCTAGATTTTCTCCAGTGTTATCTTCTAGGAATTTTATAGTTTTACATTTTGCATTTATATCCATGACCTCTTTTGAATTGATTCTTGTGAAAGGTATAAGATCTGTGACTAGATTCTTTTTTTTTTTTTTTGCATGTGGATGTCCAGCATCATTTATTGAAAAGTCTATGGTTTTACAACCTAAGTGTCCATCAGCAGATGAATGGATAAAGATGTGGCACATATATACAATGGAATATTACTCAGCCATAAAAAGAAATGAAATCGAGGTATCTGTAGTGAGGTGGATGGACCTAGAGTCTGTCATACAGAGTGAAGTAAGTCAGAAAGAGAAACACGAATACCGTATGCTAACACATATATATGGAATCTAAAAAAAAAAAAAAAAGTCATGAAGAACCTAGGGGCAAGACGGGAATAAAGACATAAACCTACTAGAGAATGGACTTGAGGATACAGGGAGGGGGAAGGGTAAGCTGGGACAAAGTGAGAGAGTGGCATGGACATATATACGCTACCAAATGTAAAATAGATAGCTAGTGGGAAGCAGCCGCATAGCACAGGGAGATCAGCTCGGTGCTTTGTGACCACCTAGAGGGGTGGGATAGGGAGGGTGGGAGGGAGGGAGACGTAAGAGGGAAGAGATATGGGGACATATGTATATGTATAACTGATTCACTTTGTCATAAAGCAGAAACTAACACACCACTGTAAAACAATTATACTCCAATAAAGATGTGTAAAAAAAAAAGTCTATGCTTTTAGACAGACTCACAGGTATAGAAAATAAACGACTGGATACAGTGGGGAGAGGGAAGGGGGGTGCAAAATAGGGGTATGGGATTAAGAGATACAAACTATTATGAAGCAAATAGATAAGCAACAAGGATATAATGTACAGCAATGGGAATTATAGCCATTATTTTGTGACAACCTTAAATGGACTATAATCTATAAAAATACTGAATCACTATGCTGTACACCTGAAACTAATATAATATTGTAAATCAGCTGTTTTAAATTTAAAAAGTAAAAATAAATTAAAAAGTAAAAATAAATTAAAAATTTAAAAAGACTATGCTTCCTCCATTAAATTATCTTTGCTTCTTTGTCAAAGATCAGTTACGTTTAAAATAGCTATAGCTGTGCTTCCCTGGTGGTGCAGTGGTTGAGAGTCCGCTTGCTGATGCAGGGGACATGGGTTCGTGCCCCGGTCTGGGAAGATCCCACATGCCGCGGAGCGGCTGGGCCTGTAAGCCATGGCCGCTGAGCCTGTGCGTCCGGAGCCTGGGCTCCGCAACGAAAAAAAGAATTTAAAATAGCTATAGCTATGGTTGGATTTACATCTACCTTTACCATCTTGCTCCTGCTTTTTATTTGCCCCATATTTTCTTTTTTTTTTTCTTTTAACAAGTTTATTTTCATGGATGTTGCAGAGAACCCTCAGAAGCTCCTTGCTGTTCTTGCTACTCCTCCTTCAAGCCTGGGTCTTCTGTCTCTCCCTCCCCTAAGAGCTGCCTTTGTTGAATGGCGGCTGTGATTCAGACACTAGGCTGGGCACAGTCATTCCTCATTCCTGTATCACTTGTTTATTGATTGTGACAGTGTGCCAGACACCGATAGGCACTTTAAATATGCTTTCTCGTTCATCCCACAGGGCAAGCCCTAAGGGACCAGTTATTATTACCCTGTGTAACTAGGCTGGCCTTCTGCAGGGCTTGGGTTGCTGATAAAGTACTGCTCCTGAGCCCCTAGAGGCTGTGCATTATCTGAGTCCCCTCCCCTCCACATGCCCATCTATTTGTCTTCTCAGCCACACAGTAGGATTTTTTTTTTTTTTGGAGTATAATTGCTTTACAATGCTGTGTTAGTTTCTGCTGTAGAACAAAGTGAATCAGCTACATGTATACATATATCCCCTCCCTCTATAGCCTCCCTCCCACGCACCCCCCATCCCACCCCTCTAGGTCAGCACAGAGCGCTGAGCTATACAGCAGCTTCCCACTAGCTATCTACTTTACACATGGTAGTGTACATATGTCAGTGCTACTGTCTCAGTTCGTTCTGCCCTCCCCTTCCCGCATTATGTCCACAAGTCCATTCTCTACATCTGCATCTCTATTCCTGCCCTACAAATAGGTTCACCTGTACCATTTTTCTAGATTCCACATATATGCGTTAATATACAATATTTGTTTTTCTCTTTCTGGCTTACTTCACTCTGTGTGACAGACTCTAGGTGCATCCACATCTCTACAAATGACCCAATTTTGTTCCTTTTTATGGCTGAGTAATATTCCATTGTAGATATGTACCACATCTTCTTTAGCCATTCATCTGTTGATGGACATTTAGGTTGCTTCCATGTCCTGGCTATTGTAAATAGTGCTGCAATGAATATTGGGGTGCATGTATCTTTTTGAATTATGGTTTTCTCTGGGTATATGCCCAGTAGTGGGATTGTTGGGTCATACGGTAGTTCTACTTTTAGTTTTTTAAGGAATCTCCATACTGTTCTCCAAAGTGGCCGTATCAATTTACATTCTCACCAACAGTGCAAAAGGGTTCCCTTTTCTCCACACCCTCTGCAACATTTATTGTTTGTAGATTTTTCGATGATGGCCATTCTGACTGCTGTGAAGTGATACCTCATTGTGGTTTTGATTTGCATTTCTCTAATAATTAGTGATGTTGAGCATCTTTTCATGTGTTTGTTGGCCATCTGTATGTCTTCTTTGGAGAAAGAAGTCTATTTAGGTCTTTTGCCCATTTTTTTATTGGGTTGTTCTTTTTTTAATATTGAGCTGCATGAGCTGTTTATATATTTTGGAGATTAATCCTTTGTCCGTTGATTCGTTTGCAAATATTTTCTCCCAATCTGAGGGTTGTCTTTTCGTTTTGTTTATGGTTTCCTTTCCTGTGCAAAAGCTTTTAAGTTTAATTAGGTCCCATTTATTTATTTTGTTTTTATTTTCATTACTCTAGGAGGTGGGTCAAAAGGATGTTGCTGTGATTTATGTCAAAGAGTGTTCTGCCTATGTTTTCTTCTAAGAGTTTTAGTGTCTGGCCTTACATTTAGGTCTTTAAGCCATTTTGAGTTTACTTTTGTGTATGGTGTTAAGAAGTGTTCTAATTTCATTCTTTTACATGTAGCTGTCCAGTTTTCCCAGCAT